GGTTCATAGAGTTGTAGTCCTTGTTATCTCTTTCTAGTATGTCCTTCAAAACATTTTGGAATGCTGGATTGGATGTCATAAAGTTCCTCAGATGTTCGTTGTCATGGAAATGTCTTATTTCTCCATCAGTTTTGAAAGATAGTTTTGCAGGGTACCTTGATCTTGGTTGAGGGTTTTCCTTCCTTTAGAGATTGAAATACTTCACTCCAAGTTCTTCTTGACTTGAGGGTTTGTGCTGAGACACCAGCTGTGATTCTGATGGGCTTTCCTTTATAGGTGATTTGTTTCTTTTCTCTATCACTTTTTTATATTCTGTTCTTGTGTTGAATTTCTGGCATCTTGCCTATGATATGCCTGGCTGTAATTTTTTTCATCATGGCTTATTGGAGTTTTACATGCTTTACTCACTGTATGTCAAATTCTTTGTCTCTACCAGGGAAGTTTTCTGCTATGACCTCTGTGAACAATTTTTTAAATATCATTTGTGCTGTCTTCTGTTTTTTCATTGACTCCAATCAATCTTATGTTATTCTTCTTTGCCTCATCTAGCAGCTGTTGGATTGATTTCTCATGGTTCCTTGATATTTTTCAAAAATCTTTCTTTTCATGATTGCTAACTACAAGTCTGTCTTCTGTACCTGAGATCCTGTCCTCACACTGGCTTATTCTGCTGTAAATACTTTCAATGAAGTTTTTATTCTTCCAGATATCTGCTTAAATCTGCCTCATGGATTCCATTTCTTTCCTATGCTGAGCACTTATGATTTCCATAATTTTCTCACATGCCTCTATTTTTTTTTTTTTTATCTGTACCTTCTCTAGAGTCACTAAGCATGGTTTTCATTGTAGGCACCATCTCTGCAGTTATCTAAGAAATTATTTCTGATTTGATTTTTTAGAGCTTCATTCAATTACTTTGTTGTTACCATTTCAGAAAGGCCAGGTGAGGGTTTTTGGATTCTCCCATACCATTGCCCCTTGGGTTGCCTTGATGAGCTGGATGCCTGAGGTTGCATCTTGTTTAAATGTCTTCTCATTTTCTTTTCTTTTCTTTCTCTCTCTCTCTTTCTTTTTCTTTCTTCTTTCTTTCTTTCTTTCTTTCTTTCTTTCTTTCTTTCTTTCTTTCTTTCAGTTTAATTCCTGTGCTGATGTTTATAAATTGCCTATGGTGGGTTGCTATATTGCTAGTATTTAGAACCCTTAGGAAGTGACTATTTCTCCAAGGTATCTTCCAGGTGTAGATGGTTTATGGACTTTGAGTCTGTTGAAAGATCCTATCTCTTCAATTTGTTGGGGATAAGAAGTTGCTACCTGCTTGGCCTAGCCCATGGTTCTTTGGCACTGTGCCATGGTATTTGCCATGACCCTTAGTCAATCTCAGTCTTGGAATACCAGGAAAGTAGCTGTTTAGAACAATTATGTCACTTTTAGCTAAAGCAGTACCATCAGCAATAACAATAGCATCAAACACAACCTAGAAAATGACAAACTGAGATAGCTATTAATTTGCCATCTTGAACCATATGAAGTACATTTGTGGTTATATAACACAATCTAAAACAAACCAGAAGAGCCAGGTGTGGTGGCACACAGCTCACCCCAGCACTCAGGAGGCTGAGGCAGAAGGATTGTTACAAGTTCAAGACTAGCCTGGGCTACAAAGTGAGCTCAAGGCCAGCCTGAACTACATAGTGAGACCCTGTCTTAAAAAGAAAAATTCCAGAAAATTATATGCAGTGTATAAGTCCTTAATATGTAAATTTTTTCCTCAGGTGTTAAAATTTAAAAGGGGTTAGGGAAAAAATAAAGAAGTAGAAGAAGAGGAAGAGATTAGAAATAACACTGTAGGACAAAGGAAGAACATGCTAACTTTGGGTAACTGGTGCAGAAGGCTGGAGGGAAAGAGAGAAGAAAGAGATAAAAAGAACAGAATAGAATAACAACTACAAAGAGGCTAAAAATCACATTCATACTCATATAAAAACAAGATCAAACAATGAAGGAGAAAAAAACAAAAAGCAAAACAAAACAAAACCACCACCACCACAACAATAACAACAAAAAGAGAGAGGAGGGGGAAAGAAAGAGAAAGAAAAAGAAAAGGAAAAGAAAAAGATAAGGAAAAAAAGCCCATTTCCAGGTTTGTCTCTGCTGTCACTTGTAGACAACACGTGTTGATTTACCCCAGCAAACCAGCAGTAGCTCTATGGCAAGGTAGTGGATAATCTCAGTGAAACTTCACCTTTATTTCAGCTGAAGTTCAGGCTGTATTCTGGCCATGGGGGCCGAGACCAGACCCATTCAACCTGTAGCACTCAGTGCACCTTTCGTGACTGGCCTGAACCCAGCTGGGAGCTGCTAGACAGACCCAGCAGCCATTCCTAGTTCGGAGCTCAGCCAACCCCTCTCCAAGATGGCTCCCAGCCAACTGCTCTCTCCTGTGGGACAACTGAGCCTTCAGCACTCACCCCCAGCCAGTGCAGTCCTTCATGTCCGCTGCTCCCTTTTGCTGCTGCATATGTCTGTGGAGACCTCCAGTGCTGCCAGCAGTCACCATGTGTCTTCAGGTTTGAACAGCTCCTCTCATGCAGTGAGTCCTGACTCAGGGAGAAGGCTCTGCCATCTGTCTCTTCTTCTTCATTGAAATTTCTCTCTTTACTCTCTCTGTGGGCTTTGATTCTTGCTTCAGAGCCTTCCTGGGCCCTGGGGACCCACCTCCCTCCTTCTTGTCTTCCTCACATTGCTATATTCCAGTGTCTGGATGGCAGCTCTCAGAGAGGCTCTTTGCTGCTTACCACTCCACCATCTTCATGCTCCTTCAATGTTACTTCTTAGAATAAATCTTCCTTCCAACATAGGAATACCTATTCAAACTTTAACAGTGCTTATGATCACATATGACTGTTACAGTTTGAATTTTTATGTCTCCCCAGTGCATATATTAAAGTCTTGATCACAGAGTGGTACTATTACTAAGCAGTGGAACCTGTGCAAGATGGGCAGACTAGAAGATCTTTTAGGTAATTGAGATAGAAGGGGATTGAGGAAACCCCAACCTTTCTCACTCTGTTTTGCTTCCTGGTATGAGATGAATGGCTTTCTTTTGTCATGCAATCTCTCCATTATGTGTGGCCTTCTCAGAAGCCCAAAAGCAACATAGACTTTTGGATTAACCATGGACTGGAACCACCACAACTGTGAGCCAATACACATCTTTCCTTTTTAAAATGATTTCAGGTATTTGCTGTACAATGGAAACTGTTTAATACAAAAATTTTGTACCAAGAAGTTAAGTCCTTTGTATTACTAGGCAAGCACCCTAACACTGAGCTACCTCCCCAGTCCTTTGCTGTTACTATAGCTGACGATATAGAGAAATCTGTGATTTTTAAGGAGAGAAAGCCTAGAATGCTGTAAGCAGAGATTACTGGATGATTCTCAGGAGGGCTCAGAAGACCAGAATGCTGATAGGAATGTGGACCGTAAAGGCATGGATTTCAGATGGAAATGAGGACCATGCTAAGAATTGGGCTAAAGGCCATCCTCGATGCATGATTGAGGAAAGGATGACAGTGCTGTGTGTAGTTCCTGAGACTTGGTGGAGTTTGAGTTTTGAGAAGATGGGCTACTTTACTTGGTGGAGTGGGTTTCAAGGCAACAAAGCATTCAGGCAGTGGCATGGGCTTAACTGGCTGGTTTTAGCAATATTTACAGAAAGCAAGCAGGAACAGCCAGAAAGACATTAAAAATTGGTATGTTGACCAGATACAGAGCACGTATAAACTTTTGGACAGTCAGGTGATGTTATTACCACTTATAAGAAGAAGCCAAAAGTCACATATTACAGCAAATGGTTTTATTCTATGTGTTACTGCCATGGTATGGTGTATTGCTGTAGGCCTGAAAGCAGTGGAGCCAAGCAGTTGTGGACTAGAACCTCAAAAACTATGAGCCAAAATAAACCTTTTCTCCTTATAACTGAATGATCTCAAGTGTTTGTTACAGTAACAGAGTTCTGGCTAACATAATGGCCATTCACATTTGGAACTGTGAAACCCTAGTAAATTCCAGTGTGCATTTCCAAATGTTGTGTCATGTTCTTATTACTATTATTCTCTCCCTCTGCTCCATCTTTTACCCTCAAAAAGCAGATGCTGATAGGAGATTTCCTCTTATAACAAGGCTACCAGTGGCCAACAGCCTGAGGGAAAGCAAGAAATGGAGCAGAGGTACTTTCCAAGCTCAAACTAAGGGAAAAGTACAACGTAAAAAGAGCAAGGAGACGTTTTACTATCAATTTCCCCACCGGCCCACTACAAATTGTTGGGTATTAACATGAACAAAGGCTGTGATGGGAATATAAGGAGAATGGGCAGAGCTCAAGAAATATGCTGCATTTCACTTAGGACAAGCCAAAGCTATTTTTCTTAAAGCAAATTTATAGAAACTAAATTCTCAAACATAATACAATCAGGTATAAATTAGATAACATTCAGCATAAAACTTGGGAAGAAGTTAACAAAATCTATCATCAGTTCTCATTTATCAAAGGATGGCCACACTAGATTTGCCACACTCAGATGAAGTGCCATTTGTCATCCTTGATGCCTAGGCCACCAACCTACCTTTTCATTTTTACTTTGGTTTCCCAGGTATTTCCAGCTCAGAAAGAAGAGCTCCACATGGTGAGTGACACACACATCCTAATCTCCAGAAAACATTGTGCCCTGTTGCAAACTGAACTTTCTGCCTGGTTTACTGTGTTTACAATATGATTACTCCTCAGAACCAGTGAGGATCAAAGCTTGAAACAGGAAGAGCTGGTCCCAACTTTTCACATAGTCTAGTGCCTCAAGAAATTCTTTCTGTAGCATCAATATTTATGTATTCAAAATCAGAACACTGTTTGCAGATCACATCTGAATATAAGTACAGAGAAAACTAGCATATCAATATAACTTTTTCTTAGCCTGAAAAAAATATAATCTTCATTAATTCAATACACTATGGTATTTCACTGACTCTCAAATAGACTATAAAATGCAATATTATTTTACATTTGCATACAAAAAATTTCAATTAACTTTGTCACAATGTTATGTGATCATTTATTATAAGACATCTTGATTTCAAAGTAGATAAAAATGTGGGGGAAAGATATATACTGCAATGATGAAATGCAGCATTCAAATATGTTCTTCACAAAATTACAAATAAAATATTAAACACTAAGTACATTAAACTGGCACATATTCATAACTAATAGCATTTTCTTAAGGCTATTTTTTCACTTCTCTGTTGAAAGGGAGAACAGGCTCACAATGACATTGATTTCTAGAAGTATCTCATACAACTGTAAAACAATGGATTTTCAATTTGGAAATCATCTCATTCTTGCGTCTAATATCAGAGACCAGGAGATGAGACAAATGAGGCCTAAATAAAGTGCCTCAGTGTAGAGTCAGGAGGCAGAGTCACAGTTGGAAACTCAATTTTTTGGTGCTGCCATGTTCTTTTCAGAGACATCAAAAACCAAGTTGACCATTACCATTCTTTTGTCCAACCCTATAGATAAAGTAAATAAATTATATAAAACATCTATTTGGAAAGATGGTCTTTTATGAAACTACACTCTACTTTCCAGGCAGCTTATGAATGTCTCATAATTTGCTCAGCAAATCCATTCCACTCCTGAATGAGTTTTGCTGTTACACGTCACTCAAATTCAAATGATTTCTCTGTATGTGCTAAAAGGTAACAACCATAAAATGTTATATAATCAGCCTCATGTCAAATACTAGTCTCATGCAAGATCCTACTGTATGACCACTTGGTAGTTTATGAGTCTGTGGGAATGACAGAACACTTCAAAAATTTTTTAGCACTTGCTGTAGATGAACCTAGAAACTTGCATCAGCAATGCATGCTGAAACTCTGCTAATGCTCTGCTCTGCCTGGCCTCTTTAGAAGTGGTGATTCTTCAAGAAAATCAGTAAGTAATCCATCTTTTCTAAGCATTAGTCCCTTTCATCCTGATTTCTGACAAAGTACTTCACAGGACAATTCCAATATTAGCTGGAAAAGACTCAAACGTTATTGCAATTGAGAGGAAAGAGTTGGAGATTTCAGGTGTGGCCTCCATTAAACTATTGCTAGATTTTTACACATTACAGAATGACAAATTATATCACTCAATCACTTCAAAGCCATCTCATTGCATTCTTCTACATCTTTTCCTCATTTTCCTCCTCCTAGTTTTGAACCAGAGGGCAAAGCTTTCTAATTCTCACTTTTGATGTTTTCCCTTCGCTGGTGATAGACAGAAAAGGTGGCTAATTTATACATCACAGCAAATAAAACAGTAATGAATATTGTTGACCCCAAACAGGTGTAAAGTACTACTGGCAAATCTGGGTATTGTCCTTGAAGAGTTCCTGCTCCTGCAGGAAGAGCCATTACCCCCAGGGCAGCGCCAATTAGAAGAAATGCTGCAGAAATTCCACTTATGCTTGTGTACTGCTCAATCCAAGAAACACCACTGGGAAAGATGGCAGCCATTGAGGCTCCATACACAGAACTCGTTATCCAGAGACAAAGTGGGCTCTTATCAAAAAGCACCAGGAATAAACACGAGACCACGCTGCCAATGTTGCTCAGCACAATCATGGTCCCAGGCTGTAAACATGCAGCAAAGAAGATTGCCAGGCCCCTGCAGGCTGCAAAGGTCCCCCAGAAGAGGGAGTTCAACCCAGCGGCTTCGCTTTCCTCCATGCCAACGTGGGTGGTTGCAAAGGAGAAAATGTAAGAGCTGTAGGTTACCTCAGCTCCAACGTAAAAAAAGAAGAACAGAAAAAGGAAGCAGAGCAGGGCCTTGTGATGTTTAGCTCTTCGAGATTCCTGAGCAGATGCTGCTGACTTTTTGTGCCTTGAGCTTTTCTTGAAAAACAGAGCAAACAAGAAGACGGAAACTACAAAGATGTAAGTGCTGATAAAAGCATATGCCCACAGTAAGTTCAAGTCATCAGGTGCTGCAAACAGAAGGTCTGGGTCGGCTTCAGGTGATCGGTTGAGGGCTGGATGGTGAAGGTCAGGCTCTGTGTGGTTTTCAGCTGACACTGTCGTCCCCAAGGCCAATTTTGCCAGAATAGGAGTCAAAAAGGCACCCAAGGCAAAACTGAAGTGTAAGGCCTGCATATGTGGGGCTCCTTTGTCCCCCCAGAGAGCCAAGATAAGGACGTTCCCACCTACCAATGAAAGATGGGGAAATTGTTTAAGTTAAGCACAGTGATTACATGATCTAAGCATTATAATATTCATAGTTATCAAACATTGGACCTGAATCATTTCTGTGATTGAAGAACTCTAACCGTCTGCCACAGACTTACTATATATAATATTTCACTATTAGAGAGGGATCACATTACCACAAATTACTGCAATGGTTTCTGTAGTTTTGATTGGCAGTCACTTCAGGAATATATTATATATATAACAGATGCAAAACACAGGCTCAGGAATTCAAACTTTTGAGGATTCTGTTGTGTCTATTACACAAAATAAGAACACCTTCCAGCATCTGCAATTAACTGCTTACCTAGATCAAAGGCCAGTGTTTTGTAGCCAACTTATTTTTATTAGACATATAATTCTACCCTGTAACTTTGCAACCAAACTAAACCTAAAGTGTAAAATATCTCCAAAATCTACCCAGTAACTTAAAGCACAGAAGGGAAGCTAGAAACCAGGATTTGGTGGGAGGCTAATATCACTTATATTATTTAGATTTTCAAAGACATGATGATACACGGGGCAGCAGAGCAGGAACTTCTGAGTGAGAAAAGAACAGAAAAGGAAAGGGAGGGAAACAGCGCATGCCACAGGTTTCTCTTAGCTCAGTAACTGTGGTTCATTTTAAATTGGATGGCTGTTTCTATGCCTTCACAACCAAATAGTGGTTCCTATTTATGTCCTACTAACCTGTCAATTCCTCTTGCATGGCAGCGATAAAGTTCTCTCCTGAAATGGAAGCCCTCTCATTTGCACTGTAATTATTCATAAGAGGGGGCCCTACCCTATGCTGATACTGTAAATTTCCCATAGAATAAAATCCTATAAGTTGTTTTCATAGCAGGTGGTGAGTTTGACGCCCTCATTAGCAAGAACAGGAGCTGCCAGGCGGCTCTGACTGGCCGACTCCATGAGCACCTACATAAGTTCAAGAGCTTTGCAAGTGACAGTTTCATATCTCCTGCTCTGCTTTCCCTAGTCATGTTCCAGATGACACTGAAGGATTCACTAACCTGTGTCCAGAATACCCAGTCCAATACCAGTGACAGACATCATGACAATCAGCAATGCAGCTGTCTTGCAAAGAGGAATGAGATAATGAGCAACTGAGGTAACCAACATCAACACCCCTGAGAAGAAAAGGTAAAAAGTCAGCTATAAAAAGCAGTGTTCATAAGGTTCCTGGGTCAAGTAAACCTAAAAACTTACAAAAATGCTATGTAAAATCAAATTAAAACTTGGATATCTTGAGAAGATTGCAGATTCTACAAATGGTTATTTCACTGAAATCTTTTATAAGCTCTATGGACTACAAAATATAAATTACCATGACATAAATTATAAATTACCATGACTATTCTGGTACTGCTAGTAATAAAACTATAAGTTGTAGCACAAAGAATCTTTTACAACAAAAGAGACAGACCAGAAATTATTTCCATAAACATTTTGTATTTAATAACTGAAAAAGACTTTTAGATCTGAGGTAATGTTTAAAAGGCAAAAAGAAAATGCAGTTATTGTAGTTGGTAATAAAACTTTAATTTTCAAAAAGAGAGAGAAATAAAAGATATGTAGTGCTGGACTGAGAATGTATGTAGCTCAGTGCTACATTGCTTGCATGCCATGTACAAGGCCTTGGGTTCTTTCTTGAGACCTCCCCTGAAATATGTGTGTATGTGCACATATACATACGTGTGAGTATATATATGTGCATATGAGTGTGTGTATACATGCACAGGTGTATATACTTACAGGTACAAAACACACATGTGTGTGCATATGTGCATATACAGTGTGTTCATACCTGTGTATATGTGTGTATGTATGCATGTGAATATAGCACATCTGCAAAAAATTGTATGTATACACATTTAATTATATGTGTGTATGTATCTGTACACACATTTATATCCACATATGGGAAATACAGAGGCTTTTTTTATTCACCAGCAATAAAAGATTATTCTCCTTTCTTAGGTATTTTATCACACTAATCTAAATTTTTAAAATGTCATTTTATTCAAAAAAAGAGTATGTTAAAAGCTTCACAGTCTATACCTCCAGGAAAATTGGGTAGTTGGGGGTCATCACTGGTATGGGGTAGCAGGAACAAAAATGTAGCCCTCATCAGTCCCACACCATCCTGGACTGCTTATTGCTCAGTCCAGAGGCCATGGAGCTGGGGCAGGTTCCGGGAGCTTATTCCGATCCCTGTGGCCCCAGGAGGGCTGCCTTCCACCCTGATGGATGGATTGAGTGGCTCCCTGTGACCCTGGAGTGCTTCCTTGATTATAGTCAAGGTTGAGCAAGCTGAAGGTTATACACACACACACACACACACACACACACACACACACACACACACACACACACCAGAGCTAATCTAAGTTTCCTGAGGGCGCAGAACAGAGTACCTCTTACTGCCAAGGTGAGACACAGCAGGACACCTAACACTGCCCGCGTCAGCAGCCTTTCTGTAGGCTGCTGTTTCTCCTATGGACAGCCAAGGTAAAAACTCATCGAAAGTCATCAACAAAGAAGTGAAACTGTTGTTTACTTACCTAAAAGTAAAAATTGATTGATACGGTCAAAAAGAATTCCACAAATGGCACAGCCACCCAAATATCCCAAAGCACGACCCACAAATATTTGAGAAAGACTGCTCATATTTTGGTTCACGTTGCTTGCCAAATCTTGAAATGTGGGTCCCAGTATAGCAGCAGCCAACCCCTGAAATATAAAGACAAAAGCTTCTACTTACAAACAAAATAATCTATATCTACTTTATGTGCACCATGAAAAACTTGGGGAGTGAGCCACAGTGCAATGTAGAGGATTACTTCAAGGCTCACAGTAAGAAAAAAATAACAATACTGGTATTAATTGAACTACAGACGCCTATGCTTTTTCTTTTCAAAATTCTCAATTTTTAAAAATTATTTAATCCTTTTGGTTTTTGATTGCATTTTGTTTTCTGTTTGAATAGTACCATAAGACTATTCTATATTAAAAGTTAATAAGGAACTGGGGATGTGATTCAGTGGTAGAGCACTTGCATACCATGCACGAAACCCTGAGTGTCATCCCCAAGACCAAAACAGCAATAAAATGAAATTTAGTGTTAAATCTATTCTTGAAATAGCTTTCTATATTTTGACATGCATTACATGTAATAACGTGAGAATTTTGGTGTCAAAAATTTAAATTATCAAAATATTCTCATCTTTGCTACTGTTAAAACAGCAATATTTCTGGTGCATATGGGCTCTTTCCTCTCAATAGCACATATAAAATATTCACAATAAACAATTTAAACATTTTAATTCTATATTTTTCCTCAAAGAAATACTCAGCCATCAGAAGTATAGTTTGTAAGACCTCCTTAGAAAATTTTACATCCGCATGTACAGAATAACTTTAAAAATAGAGTTTAAATCAAAGACAATATATTGCGATAAGCTAAATTAAAGAAAATTTGGTCTGAGCTGTTTCCATATGTACCACACTATAATCTAACTTCACATATCAACAAACTGTGACCTAATGGGAGTATCGTTTTATGACAAATGGCCAAACTTTGGTCAAATATCTGAGCCAATCTTTCAACCAACCTCAGGCTGCAAAATGCACAGATATGTCCAGATAATACAAAGAAAAACTGCAGGTTTGGGGTATTTCTGTATCTGACTTTCTTTCTCTATCTACTCTACCCTTATTGCTGGGTGCAGTTCTTTTAACCTTTATTGATGCAGAGTGCTTCCCAATTCACAAATCATTTCTTTGCTCAATAAAGTTTGGTAAATTTAATTTATCTAATATTTTTCTTTTAGTGGATTAACATCAGAGATCTAAAGTAAACCTCCAGTAACTCCAGGGGGACTGTGTGATCACACGTATGGACCAGCCAGGGCTCCTCGTGTCCACTGACCTCACATAGCAACAGAGGGTCCTGGGCACATTTTCTCTTTGACTTTAGCTCACAAATTTGTCTTTGGGGCTCTCTGAGCATTTTTGTCCAGGATCACATAATTAACTGGATTGCATCCAGAGTGAGGCCTCAGATAGGTACTTTATGAAAATTGGGGCCTCCAAATCTAAGGCAGCTGAGATTCCAAGAGTCTCGGTGTGTACTCTCTGAGATACAAGCTAACTTTATTCACAGAAGGTATGGCCTTGAATATTTTGTTATTTTTGAAAAACTGAATTAATCTTATTAAGGACACTTTAGAGTTATAGTGGCCACAGGTGGAATTTTTTGCCTAGATGACATTACTTGAGAGAGATTTTAGAAGAATTAGAATCCAAACCACAAAGTTAGTGGGACTCATTCTTTCATTACTACACAAAGGTGTCTGAGATTAAATAAATCAAAGTTTACCTCTTTGCAAACTTCCTTGAAGAAAGTAAAAGAAAAAATCTTAAACATCCTTTTTATAAATATTAGTCAAAGACTTCAGCCAGCTGCACAGAAAATTCTACTCCATTGGCTAGAAAAAATTAGGATTCATGTATTTTTTAAATAAAGCCCTGTGTTTGATATTTTACCTGATTCTGGGCCAAAATTTTAAAAATTAAACTATAGATCTGTTTCTGTTTGTATACTGGTGTGTGTCTATATGTGTGATCTTTTTCTATCTGCTTATGATATTGAAGAATGGAATTGTTAAAGAGCTTTATTTAACTGGCTTTAAGAAAAAGACATGTTTACATAAATGAAATATTCTCTCAAAGTAAGAATTTATCAGGTGTGGTGGTACACACCTCTAATCCTAGCCCTTGGGAGGCTGAAGCAGGAGGAGTGCTTTGAGTTCAAGGCCAGGATGGACCTAGTGAGTTTACAGCCAGCCTGAACTACATGGAGAGACCCTGTCTCAAAAGGGAGAGAGACAGAGACAGAGAAGAGACAGAGTCAGAGACAGAGACTGGGAGAGAGGGAGAGAGAAAGACACACCATCCAAGCTTGTGTGACTTGAGTAGTCTTTGGTTAATAAGAATATTGTTCATTTAAATAAAATGAGTGTATCTTCCGGGTTTTCAGTATTAATACAATACTTATCAGCTGTAGTGGTGATATTTTACCTGGTAAGGGGCAATAAGGGAAGGTGGTAGAGTAATAGAGAAAGAAAGTCAGATACAGAAATACCCCAAATCTGCAGTTTTTCTTAGCCTTATCTGGACATATCTGTGCATTTTGCAGTCTGAGTTTGGCTGAAAGATTGGCTCAGAATCGTAACTTTTCCTACTTAGGTTTACTGGTAAAATAAGTTTATGCCATGTGTACAGTACAAAAGTTGTCAGGAAGAAAAATAAGTTATGGTAGCTGGCTGTTTAATGTCTCATCTACATAAGCAATCCAGGCATAATTGTTAAAATTAAGTGAGTTAAACCCAGCATGAAGATATATGAGTATTGAAGCATCAGACTGCAAGTTCAAGGCCAGCCTGGGCTACTTAGTGATGCCCTCTCTTAGCATGAAAAATAAATACTCCTAGGGATGTAGCTCAGTGAAAAAGTACTTCTGGGTTCCATCCCCAGTGCCACAAAGCAAAGTTAGTAAAAACTCTCATGTAAAAGATGTTTTTCCTATACCAGATTATTTTACCATGCTTATTTATGATTATAAGTAGAAAGTTAGGTCTGAGAGCTATCTATACAAAGAACAACTTAATTCTTAGGGCTAATCAAAACAAAACACAAGGGGCCTATGATAAAATATTTCTGACTGTACCATTTATCATTACGGAGACTAAAGATATTTTGGACTACTAGTAAACAGATTTTATGCCACCTTGCAAAGTTACAGTGCGAGAGAGGATTTCCGTAAGAGAGGGTTCACAGATTTGCGAGTTGGCAGACTGCCGGTGTGACTTTCATGTGGCTCACTTCCCAGTGTTCACTGGAGATTAAGGTCACTCAAGGTTAGGAAGTTGTGTGCGGTAGCACGTGCCTGTAATTCCAGCACTCTGGACAGCTGAGGCAGGAGAAGGGCAAGTTCGAGCCAGTCCTGGACATTTAGCAATTCAGTAAGACCCTGTCTCAAAAAAAAAAAAAAAAAAAAAAATAGCCTGGGGGTGTAGTTCATTGCAAAGGGCCTAGGTTTAATCCCCAGTAATAGAAGAAAAAGAAAAGAAAGACAGTTCTATTTAATAAAAATGTTTTTCTTGGTAGGAGAGTATTGGAAACAAGGAGGAGCTAGCTCCTGAATTTCTAGGGAGCCTGAATGGGGTGGCCCTGTCTCAAAAAAATTTTAAGGACTGGGGACACAGCTCGATGCAAAGGCTGTTGGTTTAATCCTCAACACTGGGGGAAAAAAGGAATGCACAGGAACATGGTAGAAAGTTTGTAGAAGATGAACCTGTGAAAGAGATCTTTAGTGTGGCAAAACTGGCTAAGATTAGAGGGGAATTATGCAGTAGTTTTCCCTAAAAAGTGAAAATTAATATCAAAAGTACACTGCAAAACTAGAATTTTATCCTCTCTTTGAAGTCAAGTTTACTTGCTGTTTCAGTGATTTCCTTTTGGGATGGGTGTACCAGGATTTAGTCATTTCCTAGTGGGATTTTGATGGGTTTTTCCTTATATTTGAAGTAATTGGCCCATGAAACAAAGATGTGTGTTTTACTAAGTTAATTTCCTCTGTGTTCTCTTTATTCAATTATTGATCACTTAAATAAACTGAGTCTTCTCTATTAAAACAGCTAAGGCAGTTTAGCATCCGTGCAATTTCCTGTGTTTGCTTGTGAAGGGCTAACATCACTTTGGTTAAGTGACACCCTGTACAAAATGATCCGTGATTTTACTTTGATAAATGTTTTAAACTTCTGATGATTTGAAGGATCTCCTAAAAATCAAATTCTAAATTAAAACTTTTCTTGACCCTGAGTTAATTTTAGGATTTTCAAGATGGGCTCATGGACTATCTCAAAAAAATATCTCTATAAAAAGAGACTTTAAGCTAACTGTGATATTTTGTAAATTAAATTACAAGGGAAACATTGTCAAATAATGCGTAATGCTAAAATTTCTTTGAGCTATATTTGTATGGGTATTTTATGAATATATACGTAAGTTGTATGAAATTCCTAAAAATCTAATAGTCCTAAAATAACACTATCTGTTGTAATTATTAATATTAATATGCAAAGTCTAGCATAGTGCTGTGCATAGATACTACCAGATAATTAGGAGGCTGAGGCAAGAGGGTCGTGTGAGCTCGAGTTCAGGTTAGCACAAGCAGCAAAGCAAGACCCAATTCATTTAAGAAATATTCATCTGCAGCAGAAATAACCAAATTTTCTTGTCCGTTGCATCACTGTTATCATGAACTCTCCTCAGATCTTCAACCAGGGCCCTTTGAAGTCTTGTCCCTCACAGGCAGGTCAGTATTTCATCTGGTATGTGACTGAGCCACCATCAGTTGGGTGTTCAGGGACATCTATGGAAGGGACTCTGTCAAGAGCGGGTTTCAGATAACAGGATCACTCCATTGGACTGAGTAAGAATTCTTAGTAAACAAACTGACTGGCTCATAAACCTCAAGCTGATGTTTAACTCAAATTCAAGCGCAACAAGAATTAATTATATACTAAGGAAATGACCGGCAGGTTTTCTTGCTAAGTCAGCCAGTGCAGAAATTGTTGAGATACGCAATTTGGATGACCTCTGTAAGATTGATCCTGGTCTAATTAGCTATCATAACCTATTTAATAAACAGTGCTGGGCAGTGAACTAGAGAAACAAAATTTGTATTTGCGTTTGCATTGCTATGTGTGGACTCATGGGAAGCTCAGACGGTTGAATCTTTGCACCTTCCATTATTAAAAGCTTTGCGCTTCAAGACTCATCACAGATGACTGGTGCCATAAATATTTTAAATTGTAAAAAAAGGCTTAAAACTAATGGTTGGTTGTAAAACCCATCATACTGGTAAGATCAAAGAAACCAGAAATGCTATGCTTCCAGCACCTACTGGCTCATTTGAACACTTCTAGAGGGATTTCATTCGCTTGCCACCTTCAGTGTGTGTTTTTTGGTTATACAGAAGCATTCCCAGGCAGAAAGGCTGATGCTGCAACAGAAGTTACAGTGACTATTAAACGTCTTCTCATCATGGGGCCTTTCTAGAAAAACCTCTAGTTCTAGAGGTACTAGTTTCACTGCACAAGTCACAGTTAACTAAGTTACAAACATAGTGGCATAGTAGGCTAAGCTGAGGAAACTGATCAGATGCTTTAGTCAAAGGTGTTAGCAGTTTGTGGCAGTGGAATCCACTCCCCCTGGAGAACACAGGCTGACCCCTCATCGAGTAGTTACTGGAAGCCTGTCCCCTCATAACAGAACCTCTCACATTACCTCATGTATTTCATACAACTCCTAGTTGACTCGGTAGTGCAAGACTTTAGCGCATTATCCCAAAGCATATTTTCCCAGGCAAAAGAAGCCTTTCATGTCCCATCAACTGAGGACAATCAGAATTTTCATGATCTAAATCCCAGACAGTGGGTCTTGTGGAAACACCAGAAAATGACTGCCTCTGACTTTACTGGGAGGGTGTGTCACTGGAAGTCTTCTCCTTTTCCTTCTCAAATATTACCTGCTGTCCTAATCCCTTCCTTTGCCATACAAGAAAATACATGGAAATATAATGATAGCTTTAGAAGAGGCTAATGAAGAAACCAGAACACCCGTGGGGTTTGCAGGCGGATATCCCTAAATCAGGATTCAATTCCACTACTGCCAATGCTGCTTCATGTTCCCAATTAATCACCTGAAAGCCCAGGGAAATGGGGAAAGCTCTCCTTGATAGTCTAGTCATCACCGTCCCTTGCTTTCAAACTCGATGGAAACAGTGCCCTGACCTTGCCAATTAGTAACCTGACCATAGAGAAAAGCTGAGTACTGTCTGCAAAAGGTGTACTGTGGTTCAATGCATTGCACTCACAAAGCCCACGAATTACTTTACCTGGGAACAAGCAAATTCTTGTATGATGTCACTGCATTAAATCCAGTAAGGCCCCTTTCTACTAAGTGAGGGTGTGTTCCTCACAGCCTGCTATTAAAGGAGCACAAAAGAGTAAGTTTCCCCTGGACTTGGTCAAGCAATGCAGACTGTTAGCCCAAGAAATATAACTGACCTCTGCACATCAGCCACTAGGTGGCACACCATTCAGTCCCCAAGAGTCTAGATTGAGTCTGCAGAGCATTTATCTACTCTGTTCTTGACTCCACTGGTTCAGATCTTGCTCTTTGGACTGACTGACTCCTGCCTTCTGAATAGATTTCTCTAAAAGTTCCCACCCCTTCCACAATCAGTGGTCAAAGCACTCAGTATCCTACTGAAAGATAAATTAGTTTCCAGTGAGGAAAGTTCCTAATAAGATTCCTGGGCGTTCCCTCTTGGCAGCCGTGGGGTGCTGCCACTTGTATGGAATCTGAAGCAAACAGGCTAGTTAGGGGAAACTTGGATCTGTATACAACCAGATCTCCTTGAGGTTCAGAAGGGTAGAAGCTGCTCTCTGATGGGTGAAAACATTCATGTTCAACAAAAACGCTTAAAGGAACACAATTAGCTTTGATGTCTTCCTTCCCCATGCCGGGGGTTAGTGCATAGCACTGAATGAAAGCGAATGCTGTGCTTAAATTTCCCTTCATTTCACAGCTACAGAAAGAGTAATTTAAAAGGTAGCTGAGCAGCTGGGGGTGGAGCTCAGTTGGTAGAGCATGTGCTGGCATGCACGAGGCCATAGGCTCAAACCCCAGCCTGAAAAGACAAAGCAATGTACAAGAAATGGCTGACATTAGTGAGGTTTTGCTACCCACCACTGAACACATTAAGGAAAGTTCAGCGGAGAGGAGGGAGAGCACATGATGTGGTCACAGAAACAACCAACAGGTTTGCAAGCATCCTGAGGGGTGGGTGGCAGGCCAGGTGGTTCCAAGGTTTTCCAATCTTCATGCTTAGTGGGTCTCCAGGTTCCTGTGACTTGTGACACAAGTCTAACTGCACACATGGTTATCCGTTTGGATCAAGTGTTTTATAGCCACCCACGGTCCTCAGTCAACATCACTGGCTGAACAAAGACTATGACCAGTTGGGCTAAATACTGTTGAGCACTCTTTATTGTGAAAACTTTGAATGGCTTGGTTTTAGCAGTTTGGTTCAGGAAGACACCGGTTAAGGGTGTTCTTTAGCTTCTGGATATTACCGATATACCAAGATATCAGTAATGCAGCATCCCCCAGTAGCCATCCTCAAGTCTCCCCAGTGTGCTGTATGCCCTGGAGTCCTAAGCGTTCCTGTGCAGCCATCCTGTGTGCACCAAACACAACAGAAACACGAAGCACCAAGAATCACCCAAATCATGTCTCATTGTCAGTTGTGAACTACACAATTAGACCCTCTCAGTTATTTATGATGCTGACAGAAAGGGTCAGTGTCCAAGATTCCAGTGAACCTCTCAAAATGGAGAGCTGACCACAAGTAAGGAATTGTTACATTAAACCTAGCCTGAATCTGCCTGTGGACAAGGGGAACTGTAACCTACCTCAGCACTGCAATCTGCCTGTTTGTAGAACAAGTAGCTCAGCAGCCAAAGGTTCAGGCAATCACGGGGAGTGTGCAGCTCATAAATGTGAGAAGTAGACGAATGAGCTGCATCTGGTCAGACTGTTCCTGCGTGTCACTTTCTTATTCTATCTCTAGACACCTCCTGCCACATTCCTGGGTAGAGCACTCTGAATCTGTATTGTTTTTGGTGCTTCAGAGTTCCTAAGTCATTTCTTTGCCCAAAGTTAACCTGTCTAACCTTTTCTTTTTGTGTTACAACCCAGGGCGCTCCCACACTCGCTTCCTCTGGAAGAAGGCTTCAAGAGGAAATTCCCTGCACCCTTTAGGAAAAATAAGGTTTCTAAATTGTCTATATCTCAAGAATAACTGGCTCTAGTTGTACTTCTCTGCTCTCAGTGCAGCCTGTGTCCCCTTCCTAAGCTGGGCTAACCCAGCTCTAAAGATGTGGGATCGCAGATGCACAGTTCCAGGACTCTTAACAATAGTACTTCATTCCCTAAAAGAATTTACAAGATCTGGTGCACACTGCGGACTTTGAAGTGATTTTTTTCTCACACTTCTCTACTTCCCTGCCCCACCTCATCCAAAAACTTTAAGAAAAATTACAGCTCTCTGAGACGCAAGGTGACAGTGACTCCTCACAGGACTCACCCTTCCAACTCTCCTGACTCACAATTAACCAGTGATAAGAGGAAAGTTTCTGCAAATACTGAATTGACGGGCAGGCCAGGGCTTTGGCTAAAGGCACTTCTTGCCATGTATCTTGCTCCAAGCAAAACACTGAAGGACCCAAAGTCTTGATTAATATAGGATTGTGGGCAGAGTAAGTGAGGTTCCTGGCTCTTCCACTTAACCAGCTGTGTGATCTGGAATTCACTTTCCCCCTGGGGTTTATATTTTCCAGCTGCAAAATTAAGTGTTTGGCTGAATTTGGCCAGGCCATTACGAAGAGAAAAATCACTTTTCTGTGTAATAATTTGGCATGCGATAGAACAATAGCCGGAGATCTGCCAACCCATGTTGTATCTGCCCATTGAATCAAGGACATGAAGGAAGGTTAGCTGGATTGGAAAACATACTAGGAAAATCAATTTCCCACTTGACAGTAGCCCTCCATGATTACAGCTGTGCCCGCTTGCTAGATGAGGAAACCGAGGCCCGGGCAGATTAGTTAATGACCCAAGGTGACCGTGTGTAGGGGGCCAACTCGAGACTCTGACTGGGAAGGCCACGTTCTCTGCAGAGAACTCTCGGGCCCGGGAGGGTTGCAGCCCAGCTCTCACCATCCCCAGGAAGGAGGCATACAGGACCGCAGTGGTGAACCAGCGCAGCGCGCTGCCTGTCCGGGGCACCGCCACCGCCTTCAGCTCAGGCTCGGGGGCCGAGGCCTGGAGGAGCCGCTGCTCAGCAGGCGGGCGCCCGGCCCCACCGAACTCCGTTTCCAGCTCCAGGGCGGCGGCGACAGGGAGGCGGCCGTGCTTCTGCCGAGATTTTCTCCGCTGGACTCTGTGGAGGCCGAGCCCTGCTCCCCCTGGTCCGCAGGTCCCTCCGGACGCTGCCTCCCCCAGGGAAGTGCTGCATCCCGGCGTGGCCGGGGCGGACTTCGGACCGCACGTGCGCCGCGGGAGAGGACGCGCGCTCCATCTGGTACATGTCTTGGTTTTGGAAAGGAGGCTTGTAGCCAGCCTGCTGTTTTGCTCCATCCGCTACGTGGCGCGGTTGCCTGGGCGACCGGTCACCGCTGTCAGGGTTCCGCAGCACCTAGGACGGGCGCCCCGCGGCAGAACAAGCGGGAACTGCAAGCTCCGGACTGGTGCATGAAGGCTGAGAGGGGAGACCCAGGGATCCAGCGTCCCCACCCCCACCCCCCGCCGAAAATATCAGCCGAGGAAGGTGCCGCAGTAATAAAAAGCAGTACCTCTCAGTGCTGATCTGAGACAAGGATTACCGTTACACGTGTAACACCTCGATCCTCAGGGCAACAACCTGCATCCTGTGCTAGCCCTGTTTACGGCTAGGAAGACGAAGACATACAAAGTATGAAACAACCTGCCCAAACTCAGTCAGAGAGTCAGTGGCCATATACGGATACTGTAACGGTAGCGCAGAAACAAATCTGGGTCCAAAGCTGGAATTTCGGCTAAACACAAGACTTAATTTCAGCAGATAATTCCAGAAATTGAAAGGAGTGGAGAAAGACTTCGAGTCACAGGAGTACTCAATTTGCATCTGAACCTTAACTGACCTTGATGGACAGCAGAGGTTAATCTTGATTAATGCAGGTCTCACTTAACTGCTCTTGAACACCCAGCAGAAAAGTATAACCAAAGACATATAAAGGTAGTAGTAACATAGGCTCAATATGAAAAAGGGACTGCAATCACTGGCCCCTGCTGACAGTTTCCAGCTAGTATAACTGCAGACAGGTCTAGGAGCCAGCTGGTTACAACTGCTATCCTAGTCCTTTAAGAACAGCGTCTGGATGTGGCTCCTTCCTCAATATGCCTTTCCATTCCAGTGATTTCTAAAGTGCACTCTGAAACTTTCATTGGAAGCCTCTGAAACATCAAGATAATGATAGATAACAAAACCTAAACAGTTAGAGTTGGGCACCCAGGAGAGAGGTGGTACCTTTATGAGAAATTTTATTTTAATTGAAACAATATAAGTAAACTGATTATTTTAAATTATTCTTTACTTTTTTGCAGCCCTTAGATTGGAAACAAGAACCTTCCCCATGCTGAGTAAGGACTTTGTGTAAGATAATTATAGACAACTAAGTTAGGTAGCAGTCAGACAGGAGAGACCCTCAAGGGAGTCAGTGCAGAAGAGAACACGTGACAGCTGTGGCTGGAGGTGCATCTGAAGAAGACTGAAGTCACAATAGGCAGATCTATATACTTCCCCACGGGATAACTGGAAGTTTGAGATTATTGGTACCACACTTTTGAGACCTCCCCTATAAACAAACCATTATCTCATTGGGGGTGGGCTATCCTCTCCCAACCACTAAGACTAAGGCTAAGATTAAATACAAGAATAAGACTATCAATTATTGACCAACAACTTGGGATTCCTTCAGTGCCACACTCTACCAAGCCCCGTGCTGGCTTCTACCCCTGGAGTCAATTCTTGGGATTCCCTGGCCAGCTCTCTCCCAGATCTCCTTAGATTGGTGATAGATCACTAATGCTGCCCAGAAGCTCCAGAAAACACCTGGACCAGCTTAGATGCCAAGCTTTGGGTAACTCTGGCTGGGAAGGGTAAGTCCATATTTTTTTTGATCAATACTGGAGCAAATCATTCAACCTTGCCTCTTTCCAAAGGCCAGACTCCTTTACTTCAACTTCTATTGTAGGTATTGATAGCAAATTCTCTGGGCCTTTTAAAATTCCTCAAATTTTGGGGAGCCATGGGCAGGGAGCGCCGGTCTTCCAACTGGCAGCTCGCTCCCTGCCTCATAGGCCACCGAAGGGAGGGCCTCCGGTGCATGGGGAGCCATGTGGCTGAGAGTGCTGTGGTGCGCCGGCCTTCAGGCCGGCCGCTGCTGCTCAATTGAGAACTATCATGACACAGAGAAACAATGACACAATTGGCCCACCATGCACCGGATGCAGATGCCCACCTAAGGACATGTGTGAATCCTTCAAACATGGAAAAACCCCTGGGAATACATGCTATACAACGGGCCACTCTTGCTCCTGCCATTGAAAACCAGAAAGGTCTAGAGTCAGCAGAGGAGCAGCTGCTGAACAAGGACTCAGAGAACATGAGAATGCAGACTAAGCCCAAGGAGTCAGGGTTCCTGTGGACTGGGGTCATGAGAGCCACTTGGAAGCTGTAAACCAGGAGGACCTTGCACAATACCTGCAGAGACTTCCTGGAAGCCATTCTTCCCCTGACAGTACAGGCTGTGGTGGAGCTCTGGAGAAGTCTGCAGCAGGATTCCTTCTGCCTGTGCTGACAGTTGGGGAGAGGACACTAACTGGTTGTGAGGTCCCAATGCGATGGGAGGCTGGAGAGAAAACGCTACAAAAAATGGCTTTTGCCCCAGATGGCTCACTTGATTTTTGACAACCCTTAGGCTGTAACTACTTGTTAGATCCTTCTTGTGTATCTCTGTTTTCTTGAGAAACCACTTCGAAGATACCACCGTGTATTACAGCAGTCATTGATATTTTCCTACTAATCTATCCATAACTCTGTAATGTTTGTATTGTTCCTATCTTATTTCATAAATGGATCCATGTTTATTATTATGTGTTTCCTACAACAACCATTGAGAATTATTGAATGATTATTCAACAGGTCACTCATATATAGTTCTATTTATATTCTTTAGAAGCCACTTTGAAGATACCTAAATATAGTACAACAACTATTGATAATCTCCTACCTCCTTTCTGTAGCTCACTATTATTTGTGTATTTGTTTTCCTGAGAAACTATCTTGTAGATAACAATATGTAAAACAACAACCATTGATAATTTCCTACCACTTTGTCTGTAATTTGGTAACCCCCCCATTATTGTTATCCTTCTTTTACTCTTTAAAATAATAAAATAAAATAAAATAAAATTCCTCAAATTTGACATCAATTAAGTCAACAATTTTTGCCCCCTCTTTTCTGATCATTCCTGCTTGCCCTGTTCCCCTCCTTGACCAAGGTTAATGATGTCATCCATATGCCCTTACCACTATTGCTCAGACCTTCTTACCTACTGTCTTTTGCCTTTTTAAAAGCCTTTAAAGAAATTCTCAATAATAGGGACAAAGTGGCCCCAAACAGCGCATTTCTGAATTCCAGCTGTTTGCCTCCACTGTATGAAACTCACAGCTGCAGGCTGGATCAAAGTCCCAGGCAACACCAAGGGTGTTTTCATTGTGACATGTAACTGGGTCAGGCTCTGGTCATGAGCCCAACCACAATGATATGTATTTCTGTATTCTGTTCTATATGTCCCCCTTTAGATAACCATACATTTCCTTTATGGTTACAATGTTTATCAAGGGCCAGGGAAAGGATGAAACAACCCAGGCAAGGTCATAGGTAGTTCTCAGGCCCTGGCATTCTGTCTTTGGAGAAGCATTCCAGGGCTAAGTCAGGACTGCAAAGTTAACTCTTTACAACCCCTCTGGGATGTTTCTCAAGACACATTTTGAGACTTGCGTTAAGACTAGAATTATTCTATCTTAAACTGATATGCTAAGAGTCACCGTCCCCTACAGTATCCAACCCATGCAATCTTTTATTTTGTATCCCCCACCTATTACCCATTACTCAGTCCCCAGTTCGAAGCCTGCTGTCTTCATTATTGCCTTATATCCCTCTTCACAGCCTCTCTTCACCTTTACCTGGACGGACCCTGACACTCTCAGGTCCCAGCAGCTGACCTGGACTGTTTTGCCACAGAGCTTCAGAGACAGCCCCACTATTTTTGCCAGCCCCTTGCTCATGATTTGCTCTCCTTCCACCCATCCATTTCCCACCTCATACAATATGTAGACAATTTCCTTCTCTGTAGCTGCTTTTATGAATCCTCCAGACAGAATACTCTCCTACTCTTACAACACTTAGACACAAAGGGCTACTGGGTGTCTCCATCCAAGGTTTAAATCTTCTCTCCATCTGTCACTCATCTGGGCATTATTCTGCATGAACACACTCAAGCCCTCCTTCCCGATTGTGTCTAATTATTTCTCAGATCCCAATCCCCACCACAAAGCAACTATTTCTCTCCTTTCTTGAGGTGGTAGGATACTTCCATCTCTGGCTTTCTGGCTTTGCCCTCCTTACCAAGCTTTTACACAAGCTTACAGAAGGGAACCTGGCTTAACCTTTAGATCATAAAGATTTTCCTCACTCTTCCTTCCAGACCCTAAAAGAAGCTCTAAAATCTAAAATCCAGCCCTGGATTTACCAGATTATACTCAATCTTTCTGTCTATAAAATCTATAGTATGGCAGTTATGCAGTCATCATTCTGGCCTAGGGGCCAAGCCCACACCCAACTCCTTTCCTTTCTAAACAGCTTGATCCCACTGTCTTAGGTTGGCTGCCCTATTTATGGCCTTAATGCTTACAGAAGCTCTGAAAATTACTAGACACATGCTGCTCATGCTACACTCCTCTCATAACATGCATATTCTCATTGCATCTCTCTCACCTTCTATCCACTTGTATCTCTTCAAATTATGCACTCTTCATAGAAACTCGCAAGGTAACTGTTGTCCTGGGTCCTGACTGATCCTGTCTCTCATCTCATACCCACTCTGTCTCCTTCTGGATACCAGATCCACACAATTGTCTGTCCCTCACCCACTTGACAACCTTGCCTCTTCCTCATATTTCAGCATTCCCCATGTCTGCCCCTGATAACACTTGGGTTTTTCTATGGGAGTTCCTGTAAGGTTTCCCACACATCTCTGGTTAAGGCAGGATATGCAATTGTCTCACATGATCTATTACAGAAGCTGTGGCTCTTCCCTCATTCACCACCTGTCAACAGGCCATGCTGACTGCTCTGACCTGTGCTCCTCCATTGACCAAAATCTTACAGGTTAATGTAGATTCCAAGGGTGCACTTCACATACTTCACAACCATGCTGCTGTGTGGG